CACCTGATGTTGTGGTTGCTGTGACCTATAGACACCTACATCTGTCCTCAATAAAGAATCAAAATGCAGATGCGTTGTCACCAGTGAGGACTAAAGACACATGAAGATGGAATGCCTCATTTCCAGTAAAAAGGGCCTCCCGTTCTCTACACTCACCATACGAAACACAGCACTGTTAAGCTGCTATTTTACGCTGGTGTTCTGTGTGAGGGTGGTCCTGCCCGTCGAGGCGACCCATTCGTGCTACAACTATACTACTAATGTATCTGCAGCATGGCTCCACGCCGTATAAAAATTTATAACACGTATATAATCTTGTATTTGTTTGTTGTTGTTTTTATGTCTATCTTTGTCATCTACTTATTGCCTTTGTTGTGTTTTCTTTGAGTTAGAGGTACCGTTAGAGTCAACTATCTTAGATCTTCGATAGTAGAAAAAATTTGCCTTAATGGTTACATTTGGCAGGCGGATTAAAAATTACTTTACCAGAGGTTTCACATCCTTAACGCTGCATCAATATTCGGTTTGGGAATCATAAGCGGGACGTAAACAAGATCTATCGGAAGCTGTGGCCGTTTTTGGCATATCCCAAAGTCGCCTCTTACGACAACCACTAGACCAAATGTGGTGGCGGTTTATTATAGTTTATAGCATATTTTTGACTTACTTCATTCATTAATTCATTTATTACAGCCTGCCAAAAGTCCACTACTGAACATGTTGTGTCATGAGGAAGACACTGTTGCCCATTTTCAGTTTCATTTCTCTCGGTCGCCTCTTTCTTTTGCGAATTCTCTTAGTATAAAAAATGAATTCATATTACGCAGTTTTCAACCTAAGATTATTCTTTTATTGTTGAGAATTTTACTTTAACTTTTTAACTTTTATGTAATTTTTTTTTAAATTGCCAACAGGTTATAATAAAAACATAGTTTTTTCTTAATTGCCAACACCTTCCTGTGAAAATAGTAAAAAATTTATTGTCAATGTTCACATTAAATTGGCACTACACATCCCAACGCCGACTGCTTTCTATGCGTATCATTTTAAGTAACGTTTCCACTAAGTTTCACTTGTTAAATATATTGATTTTTTTTTGAACTAATAGGCACTTATTAATCACTAAATTTTGATACGTAGTTCAAAGCAAAAGAAGTAGGATTCAAACTCCAGAACTTCTCAACCTTCAAGTCAAGAATTCTCCCTAACACATATGTATAACTTCAGTTCTGTTGGAGCGATATCTTTCAAAATCAGTACATAACAATTAAAATTATAATAAAATCTATGGCCCAGACAATGCTGGTGTTACCGAGGGAGGGCGCTAGCTTGAATATAGATTTTGCCACAAAAAAGGTTCTATCTCTTAAAGTAATAAATCGCTAATTGTCACCAATTCCTCGCTTAATCTTGACATAATAAAAGTCATGATATAGCCGATTTGAAGGACACCGGCTTTTGTAGGTTCGTTTACCCCGTTTAATTTAAAGGTTATGACATACTGCGCAGTTATACCACATTATATCTACTAATATCTGCGCATAAAAACTTGTATTTACTAGGTAAAGCTTTCTTCATACACGGGAGAGACACTGGAGCTAAAAAAATCAATTCATTCAATTAAAAGCCTTTGTGATTCTTAATCGCTCACGCGCCCACTACTCGTGCTATACGACTTACTGGAGATATGCACGTACATGATTACGAGACTGCTTATTTGCTGATAGCTTTAGGCCACTATGTAATAAAGCCCTACTATTTTTGACATCCAATTTTGACATATTGTAATATATTAATTTAATCTTAGGTTAGTTAATTTGACAATGACATTTTGCTTACTCTATTTGATATGTAATCTATTTGACATCTAATCGATTTGGCATGTATTTTTTAATCCATTTGCCATGTATTTTTTAATTTTTAATTTTATTTGAACATGTATCTTGTACCATTACTTATTATTTAAAACTGTAATTTGTAAATTAGCATGCTGGCGTTTTGGGCATACTGTAAGCCAGCATGTACACTGTTTTAAAATAAATAAATAAAAATAAGAAAAGTAGTTCATCCGATAGCACTACACTACACACTTCGCCAGAAGTAATAAATTAAATTAAATATACTTATTTTTTCGACATAACAAAATAAAATTTTGTTCGCCAAATGTCATTTTATTTCAAATCTACTACCGTTTCGAAATTATAATACTCCTAATCTCCTTCCAGAGAGAAACTGTGAAAGAAACTCCGCAAAGAAGTAAGTAAGGTAAAAGCCTATACACATTCTATTGCTGCTCCCCTCTCATTCCTGAAGATAAGGGCAGAAAAGAGTCTAGTGTTGGTTATCGTCACATATCTACGAATTATTTTAGTATATAACGCTTGGTGGTTTTCCCTCGATATATCCTATCTGCGCGAAATGTCAGCACTTAAAATTGCGATGCGGCATCTGAGCTACAGCGGCTCGTTATTTATTACATTTACAACCGGTTTAAAACAATAATCTTTTTGTACTTGTAGGTAATACAGATGGAGTCAAAACTAATAAGATGAAAAAGAACGCCGGTACTGCAGTATATGAATTATAGACCGCATCACCAGCCGCAACAAATTTATGTTATTTATATTTTATACTACTCGTAGTAGTCGTAAACATAAAATTGAAAAAGGAACAAAATTCATTCAACACACTTAAAATTGCGATATTTTATATTTTTTTACGTGGTAGAGCCATGCTGCATATTAGTAGTATAGTTGTAGCACGAGTGGGTCGGCTCGACCGGAGAAGGACCACGTTCTCACAGAATACCAGCGTCAAATAGCAGCTTAATGCTGCTGTGTTTCGTATGGTGAGTGTAGAGAACCGGAGACCCTTTTTACTGGAAACAAGGCATTCCATCTTAGTCCTCACGGGTGAGAACGCATCTGCATTTTGATTCGCAGACGAGGATAAATGTAGATGTCTATGGGCCGCAGCAACCACTTACCATCAGGTGGACTGTGTGTTCGTTTGTCACTCTATCCTGTTTAAAAAAAAAACACAGCTCATTTTATATGTCTGTAACAATATTGTTGGCAACATTTTAATACTCATTGGCGACAATATCTATTCTGTACGACTGTTTGACCATATACTATTGTGTGTTTGACGATTGATATTGGCAGTATGAACTTAAAGGATTAATGTTTGCTTTTATTTTATTTATACATTAAATTAAATTAAATAAAACATTGTGAAACATATTATATAAAAATACTAGCCAGATTTTGGTAGAACACACTCTCACAGAATAGGTTTTTCACACAGAGCTCTCATAGAATAGAATTTAAAGCAATGACCTAGGCCACCTTTTCCGTCTAGATCAGGTAAGAGCCACTTTTCTGCCGCTAACAATGTACAGCAGTGCTCCCACTACTCTGTGAATGAAAAATCAAGGAAATATATCTTATTCCTAGTGTATAAGACAACACATCTTCATTTTAAGGTAATTTGCAGATGTCCACGGTCTGAAGTTGATGTTTTAATATTATATGTCATCAAACGCTACGTCTACTTCTCGGATGGAGCAACGACAATGAAAACGATATTCAAAGCACCCAGACGAGAGAGCAGCTTCAACAACATAGATTTTAATACTGCAATCAACAATACCTTACACAACAAAACGATATCCGTGCAATTGTTGGCGAAGTCAAAACTAGGCCACCGGGCCATCAAAATTTAAATTAATGACCGCGTCACCCTCCAAAAATATACAGTTAATAATTTTCTTATAAAAATTAACGAAAATATAGTTATATACAAAGAACAAAGTATTGCAAACGGCCAGCCGAACTTTCCACTCTCATCCCAATCTTACTGTGATGTGTAAGGCCGGCCACATACATACGGAATTCCGTTTCGATATTCCGATTCGGGATTCCGAACGCAGGAAATCCATATAAAATCAAGAACCCGCCACACACGAACGGTAATTTTCCGTACGGAATTTTCTCCGATTCGAAATTCCGTATGATCGCCTGTGCGTTCGGAATCCCGAACGGAAAAAGCCGCTCCGAACGCAAGTCTTCCATACATTTTGTATGAGTCGCAACACACATTCGTAAATTCCGTACGGAATGCGCTCAGTGTTCGTCGCACGACCGAAGCGAGTAGGTATGTGAAATAAACGTATGTGTGTGATGTATTCACGGAATCCCGATTCGGGGTTCCGAAACGGAGTCACGAAACGGAATTCCGTATGAATGTGGCCGGCCTAAAATAAGCTTACTTTAGGCTTCCTTAAGCTAGAAAAGATTATAATCTTTTCTAGCATTCGTGGAAAAACTTACTAACTACCTAGGCGGAAGAGGTTTGATCGGCGATAGAAAAAAATCTGAGATCACACCTATCTATAAACTTAGAATTTAAGTAATCCTTATTTCATGTCAATCGTTAGTGTCATAATAAATATATATGCAATTTTATAATACATAATTTTAATTCTTGTCATCATCATCATCATTCAGCCCTTCACAAGTCTACTGCTGAATACTGACTTCCTGCATGACTTTCTTTCTTCTTTCGTTTCGTTATTTAATTCTTGTATGAATGTATAATATAATATATATATACATACACTAGCGATCTGCCGGGCTATTCACAATCGTCTCGGAAAGCGATATCGACTCGGATTCGATAACTTCTCGCACGGAAACCAATAAACGCTATTCACATTTGACGTTCGGATAAATTTGACGTTTGTTTTCGGTAATTGTGACAGTTTGCATCGGAAACTTCACGAGAGCTCTGAGGCTGGCGAAAACTTGAATATTGATGATTAGATATAAATAAACCCTTTTAATTATAAGGTAGGTAACAAAAATTAATTAAGTATAATTATCTATAGGACGTATTTTCATATAATTACTTTAATATTTGCACTTAATCGTAAAGCTGATTTTTTTTGTGAAAGGTGTGTTTTTATAAGTTTTCTATCATAAATTTTACAGATATAAGCAATGTCAGGCATTGCGGCTTTAATTATCCACAGGCGGGTCCTCAATCAAGAAAAAGAGAAGTTACGGATTCAAACAATGATCCGAAACAAACGGTTTCGCGATTTGTCAAATCCGTACGAGGACCCTAATTTCCAAATTACGTACCGACTCACCCCGGACTTGGCCTTGGCTCTATTGAGAGATTTGAAGCCTGTTTGGCAACAACACCATTATTCAAGCTCACTCCCTATAGAACTGAAGGTAAATAGATACCCAGTTAGTGAACTCAGCACCATACCTAAGTTGTTACCTACTTTGTTATTTTAATTTTCTTTTTGTACTTAGTTCCTCTGCGCGTTACATTTTTTCGCACATGGCTCCTATCAAAAAAGCCTTACAAAGGATGTGGACTTTAAAGTTAGCCAGCCTACTTCCAGCAGAGCCATTAGCGAGGCAGTGGCGGCTCTAAATAAACCTCAAATTATCAAAAAATGGATTAATTTCCCAAATAGTCCTCAAATGGGGGCAACCGTTTCAAGGTAAATCCAAGATTTAAATTACATAGGTACATATGGCATACTTATTCATATGAATCTTTAGGCAGATATTATTAATAGTATAATATGAATCAATCAGCAAGTAAACACTTCAAAAATTATGGCGATCTTTTCCCGACCAAATTTAAATTAAGTACCTCCTACCATCTTGAAGTAAACTATGTGTTTTTCATACAGTAGGCAACTAAGGGACTAAACAGGAAACAGGCAACAGAGGTACGTGCCGTGTTCCTAAATTCTCCTAATCAGCTAAGTGTAAGGTAATAAGGCTAGACCCCTTATGAGAAGGCTCGTGCCCAGCTGTGAGACATAAGTATGTTTATAAAGAGTTTGTCAGAAAACTTCATGAATGATAAATACTTTCATATTACATAAATGATTTATTATTATAACATGTAAACATTTCAATAAAAATTACAACACATTAAAATTTTAAAAACTATTAACTTTACTTATTTTACTATGTATACATATTAAACAATTTTTCAGTCTTTATAATAAGCAGTCAAACGATATGTAGATATTTAAAACAAATCAACATTAATTAGATAGTAAAATACCTAGAAATAAAAAATTACAATTATCTTCTAAGTAGGTACCTAATTACCTAGACACAGATAGTTTTATCCTTCAAATGTCTAAAAAGCTAGTATCACAATCACAGTCTAATTTTAATTTGCAGAAATTACCAAAAATTCGGAATTCCTGGAGTATTGGGCTATATTGATGGCACTCATATAAAACTTAAGAAGCCAACACAACATGAAGAACTTTATGTTAATAGAAAAGGTGAACACACCCTTAATGCACAAATGGTAAGTACATTAGATTTCACCCATGGCTACACTCTGTTTTGTTTATCCCTCAGGACCGTGTCATTTATATTTAAGTACTAATACCTTACAAAATTTAAGGACAATCGGTTATGAATTTAATAATAAGTTGTAATATTATGATTTCTGTATATTAATTATGCAAGATGATCAAAATTCTGTACTAATTTAATTCGTTTTTTACAGGTTTGTGACAGTTCCTTAAAAATATTAAATGTGTGTGCACGATATCCAGGTGCAACACATGATTCCTTTATATGGAGGTTTAGTGCACTACGGAAGGTGATGATGAACCTTAATGGTGAAGGCAGTACTTGCTGGCTTCTAGGTATATAAATATTTTTGATGTATCTGAAACAAATAACCTCAATTTAAAACCTATTGTTATGTTCTAGTTGTTTATTTGAATTACAGGTGATTCTGGATATCCCTTGGAACCATGGCTACTCACACCGATTCTTAATGCTGAAGAAGGCACACCTCAAAATCGGTATACCAACACCCATATAAAGGCAAGAAACTGTATTGAGAGGTGTTTCGGTGTACTTAAATCGAGGTTTCGATGTCTGCTGAGGAAGATGGAGTACGAACCGACAAAAGTAGGCTGCATTGTAAATGCATGTGCAGTTTTACACAATGTGTGCATAACAGCAGGACTCACTCTTCCGAACGTTGTTGATGAAGATACTTTAGCGCCAGACGCGAGTACAGCAGATATCTATAGAGATATGCAAATATATGAGCAGGGTCTTCAAGTGCGACAACAACTAATTCAAAGATTATTTTATTATTAATGAGTTTTATTATTTGTTCTTTTTGTGTTTGTTTATTTATTTGTTATCTTTTATTAGTTTTAATTAAACATATAATTCATACTGATTAAAATTATTTAATTATATTGACCTACCTTACATTAAACTTTATTACTTTTAATGGCCATGGAGTTGAGGGCTGCAGCTAAATTGTTTATGGCTGCAGCCAGATTATTCATGGATAGTGAGAGTTGGTCCATGGCCGCAGCTTCAGTTTCCAAACACTCATCAAGTCTATCTTCTACAACAACATACAACATATTAAGATATGAAATAATAAGCAAACAATAAAATTTAAACAATACCTATAATTACGTTTTTTTGTAGTTCTTGTAATTTCCGGAATGTGTTCAGTGGTTTCATCACCAACTTCTGTAACACATTCGGGAATCTGTAGAGACAAAACAAAATGCATTGAAATCAAATTGTATATATATCCTTCCTACTTCTCTCATAAATGGGTTGGGATCTATATAAGTCGGTACATACTCAAGAATATGCAGATACCCATTTCCTTAGAATGAGTTAATTCTATTATCAACTCATATTGCAGGATATTTAATAGTAAATTTTGAATAGTTATGAACATACATTTAGCTTTATTTATATTTTTTTGTAATAAATGTTGGTTGTACCAAACAAATACAATTTACACTACAAAGCTCCATTTCTTTCATGGACTCGAAAAGAGACATGGAGAGTATTGAATCCTAATAATTAAATATGAATGTGTAGTACCTCTAAGGTATCGGCAACGGCAATGCCTTCTGCTGCTTCATAGCCAATAAATGCCATCAGAGATTCCTCCATGACAGATAGTGGTGCAGGTCCAGGGCCTCCACCAGTCTGCTGCTGCGCATGGCGGATTTTGGCGGCTTTAGACTTAACGTCGCTGCGCCAGTCCTGCCAACACTATCAGATATTTACATTAATAAGGGCTAAAATGCACATTTGTAGGTATACATAATTACTAGCATTACAAAATGTATGAATTTGTAGTTCCTAATTTTAACATAACACAGACATACCTTTATCCATTTATCTGCGCTTTTAGTTGCTCCTGTGGCGCAGCTGTTTAACAGATTGGCTAGTTCATCCTGCAGCTTTATTTTTTTGCGGGCAGCATCTGCGCCTGTCACCCGATTTCTGGCAAAATCGGGATGCGCCAACATAAATTCTAACATTTTTTCACGCTGCTCGTAAGAGACACGTGTTCTTTTTTGCTGAAAAATAAAATAATATACCTTAAATTAATTTCAGTAAAGACAAAAGTAAATATGTAAAACTTAAATCAGCTATTGTCGTCACAGGCAGACGCAGGGTCGAAATCAACAAACTTATTAGGAACTAAAATCAAAGAAAACAAGGTGTAACAATAAAATAAATTGAATAGCTCTCTACTCACCAAAGGAATTTCCATTATTTATATAATTATGTCACACAAAAACAATTTATATATAACGATTCAAGTGACAACAATCATCAACTCTTCTTTCGCTCCGAAACGCAATGACAGTAAAATAGCATTTACGAAGTATGTTAGTAAAAAATACTAATTTTTAATTATGAAAATATGGACCACATTAGTAAAGAATATTAAAATGAATATAATTTTTATCGAGTATTTAAATTAATTTACTGCATGTGTATTAAAAATATGAAATATTTAAAGACATTAAGGTTTTATGTAGTGTAGTGCTATTTTCGACAATCTATCTTTGTAAACACTACAAATTGGTGTGAGGGATGGAGGTCACTTTCGGCGCATAGACAATCTAAATGCACTCACACTGACATTCGAAAAATTTTCCGTGTCGAATCCTAAACGAGAGGAGATGTGAATACGAAAGTGTGTGACATTCGGATCGAATACTTGACGTACGAAACCTTCCCGCTTCCGAGAGAAATCTTTCCGAGGCATTGTGAATAGCCCTGCTGTTCCGGCTTCGCAAGGGTGATTTCTGGATCTCGAAAACAGCGCCACCTACCGAGCCCAATTGTGAATCGTTTAGATCATCCAGGGACCCACTCAAACACACACAAAACATTCATCAAAATCGGTCTACCCATTTTCGAGTTTTTGTGGGACTAACGGATAGCAATTGATTTTTATATATAGAGAAGATAACACAAGAATTGCTCGCTCAAAGTATAGGCGTCAAACTTTTAGCATCGGATCATAAAAGTCTTACGAATTACAAACCATGACCCACAATTTATATAGGCATACCTTAAATGGAAATATATCCTTAAATAAATTTTATACCGAACGACGTGATCGTCCTTTATTATTCTAAAATAGTAACGGATTTAAATCTTTGGCCACGCATCATTGTAGTTTGTCGTTTAAGAAATTTATTCTCATTAAGAATACAAAATTCACTTATCATGAGAACATAAAAACTTATAAGTTATAACAATATCTGGGGAAACGCAGAGGTTGGGGGTACATTAAGAAAACAATTAAAACAGTTACAGTTTAAAACAGTCACAGCGTCGGACATAGATGCAATTATAGACATAAAGTTGAACTACACTCACCAAGTTACAAGAAGTGGCTTGAGATACATATTTATCTAATAGTAATGAACAATAAAAAGTTTTTAATAATAATAATATTTTAATTTAATACTAAGACCATCATTTTATATATTTTATAATATGATAATATGATATTTTAGTAATTTTTTGAAGCTTACATTTGACTGCGATTCCTTAATGTCTTTAGGAAGTTTATTATATAATTGTACCCCTTCAAACATTAGGTTTCTCTTACCGTAACTAGTTCTTGGTGCACGTAGAATGACATCATTTGCGTTTCTTAGTTGAATTTTTTGAATTTGCTTCTTTTTAGTGAAACTTAAATGAGTGTGAATATCTTTATTTATTATTTTACGAATCAAAATGCATGTATGATAAACGTACGATTGATTTATATTTAACAGTTTAGTATCATTATATATTTTATGAGTTGGTGTCAGATAGTTATAGTTAAATAGAACTTTTATAACCTTGTTTTGAGCTCTTTGTATTGGGTTTAAGTTATTCTTTGCGGCTGAGCCCCATATTTCTATAAGATAATCGATGTGAGGTTTCACTAGAGAATTGTAAATAATATAACGTATTTTACGCGGGAAACACCGAGCTACACTTCGAAGGGTACCCGTTATTGATGATAGTTTGGATTTAATGTTATCTATCTGAGGTTTCCATGTAAGTTTATCATCTAAAAATAAGCCAAGATATTTTTCGCAATTGGATCGTTTGATAAGGTGGTTATTTATTTTTAGAGGCTCAAAATCAAATATTTTCTTATTTTTTGCTTTGAATATGATATAATTAGTTTTAGAGATATTTACTGTTAGAAGATTGTATTGGAACAATTTATGTATTAAGTCAAGGTCATTTTGCGCGTCTGAGATAATAGTATTTAAGGAGTGACCGAAATAGAATAGGTTTGTGTCATCGGCATATAACGTTATATCTCCTTTTAGGCCAATATCTTTTAAGTTGTTTATATAAATTAAGAATAGCAACGGCCCTAATATGGATCCTTGTGGCACGCCGTATGTCACAGTTTTTGGTGTACTTTGGAACTTATCTATTCTTACTACTTGCTTGCGATTTGTTAAGTAAGATTTTATCATATTATAGGCTATACCTGTGATGCCAACGTGTTTTAACTTTTTAAGGAGTAAATCATGACTTACGGTATCGAAAGCCTTTTTTAGATCTATAAATATACCTAATGCAATATGTTTTTGATCAATATTAAGTTTTATTTTTGTAGTTAGATCTATGGTTGCTGATAGGGTGTTTGATTTTCGCCTAAAGCCATATTGTTTATTATATAAGAAATTGTTTGATTCTAAAAATGTTTGAAGACGGTTGTATAAGATTTTTTCAAATACCTTTGAGATTACAGGAAGAACTGATATAGGTCGATAATTACCAGGATTGTATCTATTTCCAGATTTAAAGATTGGAGTGACTTTAGCTATTTTCAGACTACACGGGAAGATACCTGATTGCAGACATTCATTTATACATTTTGTAAGTTCCAGGGCAATTAAGTTTTTAACACACTTGACAGATTTAGTATTAATTCCATCTATACCTGACGCTGTGTTAAGACTAATGTTTTTGATGATTCTGAGAACTTCCTCTGTAGTGGTAGGAATCAGTGACAACATCTGGTCTTCCGACAGTACCGTGTGTTTATCAGTAGCAAAGATATTATTGTGATGGAAAGAGGAAGGTATTTCACTTGCCAAGGATTCTCCGATGGTTGAAAAGTACTGGTTAAAATGTTCACATATTTCTAGAGGATCTGTTAGCGTGGCAGTTTCTGTCTGGAGTTCAGCTGGAGCCTTAGTTTCCTTTATTTTGTTGTACGAAAGTTTATTTATTAAGGCCCATGTTTTTGCTGGTTTGTTTTCACAATTCATAAATAATTTGTAATAGTACTGATTTTTTCTTCTTTTTATATTGTGTGGTAAATTTTTTCTTTCTTTTAAAAATTCCTCTTCTATCTGTTTGTTTAACGGATTTCTAATATGTTTTAGCCTTAACGTATTTCTTTTTTCTATTGCTTTAATAATATCGTTTTGTATCCAATCTTGTTTCGGCAGATAATTCTGTTTTCTTTTTGTAATTTTATTTTTTTGTATAGAGGATATAAGATTTTGTTGGAAGATATTATAATTCAAGTTTAAATTATTATCACTATTTACTTTTTCCAAAGTTGTGTATAAATTAATATAGTCAATTGCTTGATACACAGATGATTTTATAGGTTCAGGCTTAAAATTTATAACTTTAAAATATATTTGTTTATGATCAGACATAGTGGATTCTATGACAGCTAAGTGAAAGAGATTTTGTTTCAGATTTGTGCAGATATGGTCTAGTAATGTATTGGTTTTACTTGTTTCACGAGTGCTGTAGCGTGTATCTATTTTGTTCAAAAGATGGTAACCGCA